TATTTATATATGAGCACATAGTGGATGATGATGAATCAGCCGTCTTAACTTCCCATAAAATGGCACACTAATTCGATCTCGAGAACTTCGGGCTAACAGGCAAAATGTCTAGACCACTGCGTTTAGCAACTCCCGATATGACAGCACACAGCCACAGCGTCGCTGAAATTGTTGCCAATAAAAGAGTACAAGTTACATTCCCAAACTGCCTGCCATGCAGGTTGCGCAATGTTGTCATGACAAATGTAATGGAGAGCAGCTCGCCTGAAACACGACTAGTTTGTTTGAAAGGGAAGGTATTCTTAGCAACTATCGTACTACAGATATCCGCCCCCGTAAAGCGGCATTTTGTTATTTCCCAATTACGTTCGTAACATTTTTGAAAATGAATGGATAAGGAACTGAGTTTTGTCGAGTTGAGTCAGGAATTGACATCACATCACTAAGGGCATTCCCGTGCGTGCTTCGTTCTCATCTTCAGCAGCCAGTCATTGTTCCAATACTAATGGTACCAGTCGTAATCTGGGTAAATCTCCGTCTTGCTTTTCCTCTGAGTTTGTTTATTTTGTTTGTTTGTTTTAGTATCCAGAAGCCATAAGTTGTTAACCCTTAGGCTCGGTATTATGGATATAGCAACCTTTCGGCCTTGATTCCATTGTTAATACTGTAAATCTGGGAGAAATGTGGCTTTCCTGCCTACCCCCGGGATTGAACCCGGACCACAAGGAGTTCGTCACCCGGTCTCCGCGCAATCCAGTTTAGCCAACTGCGATAGAGAGCCGAGCTTCCTCTAGTGAGCCGGCCAAACCCTCTGGTTACACCCAGGGGCCTCATTCTTTCTAGGCCATAATAATCTTCTTTCTCTACTTATTCCGTTGCTTGTTTCCAAGGGGCCTTGACCACATCTGCCTTTTCATGTATCAATTTACCACCTAGTTGTGCAGATCCAGCCAGTCTGTCTGCCTGTTTATTGACCACCACGCCGGCATTGCCTGGAGAAAAGATCAAAAGTATGCGCCCTACCTGTGATCTTCCCAGTGAAGCTTGCCACTCTGCTCAAAGCATTTCTGTCTTCACTTTTTTCACTATGTCACTTTTCTCAGCATGCATGAGTCATTTACAATTATGATTTGTGTATGCATCTTGTTTTTTAGCCACCGGCAAGCTGCAGTTACCACCTCCACCTCCATTCTCATGCTAGATGTTGTGGTATCGTATGCTAGGCCGTCCAGCACTAAAGATTTTACATTGGCTTTCGCTATGAAACCACAGGCTTTTCTCTTCCCTCTTAACACTGAACCATCTGTGCAGATAACCAGATCATCTGGGCACTAAGCGAACTGTCGTGAACTTCCAGTGTTGTCGTTTTTTACCGGGCTTAACGGCATTCTCTGTTGGAGCTCGGTCCGTGCCGCATTTAGGTATACAGCTAAATACGCTGAAGCTTAGAAAGTCAGTCGGCGACCGGTTCGCGCACTGGCTCGCCGGCAGAAGACTTCGCAAAGATGTCAACAGAAGAAGCTGGGTATAAAGCTGTCTAGAAAGTTTTCAAGAAAGGAGGGATGGGGGAGGGGGTGCTCTGCCCACCCTTACAGTTACAGTTTATATGGAATGGGGACGGCGCCACAAGCGTGCCAGATCACCTAGGTTGGGGTGCCCCTGTAACTTCTAGAAATGCCAATCAATACCTGTTAAATTCTCCTGTCATTCCAAATGCCTAGAAGGAGACTTCAGCGAACGACATTCCTGTGTAGTAAAGTACTAGTACATGATAATGACCGAGGTAAACGGTGTTACCTTTAGCCTGGAGCCGTCCCGGAACTCGAGGAGTGTGCTGCGACACGGGATCAAGTTGACAGAGACACCGCATGTCTAAGACATGACGGGTTCGCCGTGAACGCCCACCTGTACAGGCCGTAAATGTGCCATGTTCGCAAGTTGCATCTGTTCTTTTTAAACCTGACGTTTCTCCCACACCCTACAGCAGCAGTTCTCAAACTTGGTCCGCCGCGGCACCCTTCTCGTGTTCTTTACTACACACCTTTCAACGACCCCAGAAGATCTACAACTGGCCCTAACCCAAACACCCCATATCCACACCCGGAGCCTAGGTCACATGAGAGACTCTTTTCGAAGAAAGCAGTACAACGTGATACCCCTCTGACCTAGATAAGACTGAGAAATGTGTGTAGAGTGCAGGGAAACGTGAACAGGCCTGCTGCTTTTCTGCATATATGTATTCAAATGTCATTTTACATTTCTCTCCCCCCCCCCCTTTTCTACTGTCCTCCTCAAGATTCCCGTAGGTCTTGGCTTGGCTTGCTTTACGGGAAGAAATCGTCATGTTCAAACAACATGCCTGAAGGGGCAGCTGTAAGTTATAATTGTGACCAGGGTATATGCGCCGGATAAAAATGACTTAGCACTGCTTGCCGCCAAGAAACCCTGAAAAAGTCTCCTACAGTGTTGGCGCAGTCAGAGGAGACAGACCCAAATACTGTCCCGATCGGCAACGAAGTCGTCTACCGGTGAGCCCATGTGCAACCCAGATGTATACTTCCTTTAAGCGTCCATCGGAGAGCTTAATTAGCAAACGTGTTGCATGGCATCTTTACACTGTGAATGTCATTGTGCTTAAATACTTTACAGCTACGCAGGAAAGGTGGTTTTCTTTAAATGCCAGATTTCGGTTACATTTTTCAACACCACACTATTTTAACACTACATTTTAACACCACACCATTCTAACACTACACCATTCTAACACTACACCATTCTAACACTACACCATTCTAACACTACATTTTAACACCACACCATTCTAACACTACACCATTCTAACACTACACCATTCTAACACTACATTTTAACACTACACCATTCTAACACTACACCATTCTAACACTACATTTTAACACTACACCATTCAAACACTACATTTTAACACTACACCATTCTAACACTACATTTTAACACTACACCATTCTAACACTACATTTTAACACTACACCATTCTAACACTACATTTTACCATTAAACTATTTTAACAGTGCATCATTTTAACACTACGCCATTTTAACACACCATTTTAACACTACATCCTTTTAACACTACGCCATTTTAACAAGATGTTTGAAACACTATATTTTAACACAACACCATTTTAAGACTACATTGTAACACTACATCATTTTAACACTATATCATTTGTGTGACCCTAAAATTTTTTACTGTAATTGAGCAAGTAATCCGTTTTGTACAAATTATAATTTTCTCCACAATCTAGAGCTCCCGAGCTGAACGATCCCGTGCCACTCACCTCAAGATGATAACTTCTCGCTAAAACACATGGAAATTAATGTAGACAAACTTGAGGGGCAAATAATTTCTTCTGAGCTACTGTAAAACTTGAAAAACTGTCACCAGCACACAAAATAAAAATAAAGCTCCCGTAAATCTGACGTCACTGCGAAAACCCTTGACAAGATCACTAAATCTGCCTTGCAAGATTTCAACACTTTCGATCACATAGTAGTTGAGTTAAAGAATTTTATTTAGTTTTTTGTTTCTGAAACGGACCACCAAATTTAGGATTCCGTGGCCTGGTTAAAGGAAGTCCATAGTCACCCTATCGGTAAAACCCAGTGTGATTTGTATTACTCGCTGCCTTCACTATTCGGGTAGGCTCTTTACCTTTTGTTTACCCCAGAACACGCTATACTTTCATTGTAAGTATAACAACTATACTTTTCTCGTTGTCTTTCGTCGTAGACATATGCTACTTTAATTTGGCAGTTGAAAATCGTAAAAGAGTAGCCTAACGACGCTGCCCTGGCAAAATTTGGAGTTTAAAAATCTATCCAAAGAATTTCAGGATCGTCGCCGGTGCAACGGAGAACGTGCACCACGCTGAGATTCTTCAGACTCAGGCTTGAGTTAGAAGTAGAACGGGGCACTTATGGGTTACACCCGTGTGCCATGATGTTGATCCGTCGAATAAACGTAAACATAATTGCTTCTATCATAAACCTCATGTAGCGTAGGCTGGCAGGTTTCGTCATCTCTCAGGATCACCAGAATAACGGATCAGGTCAACGTTCTTGTCTCGCCCACATATATATAGCCAAGCCATCCAGGTATTTATCTATCTCCCCCCCCCCCCAAATCCCCTCACCTCCACCCTAGCTCCCTATCCACCAATCATGCTAGCTATTACAAAGTTCCCGAGTCTACTCCTTCTCATAACATGTCCAGTGAGACGTATCAAGAACCGTGTACATGCAATTATTCTCATCTGGTCACAACTTTAATCTGTCTCGATTCTATCTGTTCTATACGGTAACACATCCAGCATGATCCCAGTCAAGAACGCTTCTTACAACAACATTTATATGATTAACAAGCGCTACTAAGTAAATTTAACAACCCCCCCCCCTTTTTTTCTTATATCGCTGGCGTCTGGAACATATGATGCTACATCCGTAGCATCACAGACCTATCAGCACTCGATGGGTCATGCCGACTAGCTCCGGCTACGTGAGATAGGAGGATACTTTCTTTTCAGTTCACCTCAAATAAGGAAAATCCTAGAGCTCCCGGAAAAGTCCAATATTGTAGGGGTGTTATAGGTTGGGGTCTTTGTCAACCCCGACCACATAAGAGACACCGACTTATCCTTATCCTAACCAAAACCTTTAACACCCCACGAATATTTGAATTTCACAGGAACTCCAGGATGTCCTTTGTTTGTAGGTGAATTAAAAATAAAGTACCTATGAGAGCCAGCCCTTGACACGGACGTCTTTGCCCTCCTCCAGGTCACGATTGTAAACTTCATAAAGGAACAGCCGAACTGATTGAAAAACAATGCTTCTATTTCTGAGAATTAAACCCGAACCACTTGTCAAGTCGGCAATCTCACTAACAACTATTCCACCAGACTGTTGAATCTGAATCTATGAAAACCTAAATACAGGACTTAAATACAAACACCAACTTACCTCGACCACTCCTTCCTACGAACCGCAAATCGTTGAACTTTGCCACCTGGTTCTTAATTGTAGCAGTGTTGTTCCGCAACTCCGAACAAAAGTTTTCATCATTTCCAGCAGTAATACATACTTTTGTCCCGTCTTTGATTTCTCCCAGAGCGACGACTTTGAACGGCGCAGGCAACGTCTTATTCGATCTCCAGTGAGAAGGTAATACCGAGCAAAGGAAATTAGGACTCCCAGTTTTCACTAATTCTCCCGGATGGTCGCTAAGGACGCTGGTCAGTGGTCGTTCTCCTGCCATGACCCCTACCTCTGACATGAAAGGGTTCTCGTGGTACGGTGTAAAACCGCTCAGATCGGCGGGTAAATGCATGTGGCCTTGTTATTTTGTCAAAAGTGGTATTCCGTCTGATCGCTGACACGATCTCCGCAACACTGAGAGAGGCCTGCGGGTGTTTACGGTAAGCCAGGCCGACTAACAGCCGCGGAGCCATGCGGTTTTTTTCCTCTTTTTAGTGAATGGGGTGAAACCCGCGCGGTTTTGCGCTGCAAGCCACTCCTCCGGAACTGACTCAGACACGCCCCTGCCTTCCCGTATGCCTTCTCTTCTTGCGCGGTCACAGGCGCAGTTCGGCTCTGGTCTTGACCTCAGAAAACTTGCATAATCAACTAAATAATGCACAACACAAAACAATTCTACCATCTGTCCGAGGGCACGGACATTAAATGCCTTTTAAAATTAATATATGTGACAACGTGAACATGGAGTTTTGATGAAGTTTCGTTGAGTATGACAAGTAGCGCAGCAAGATGATGTGGTACTTGGTGCTGAACTTTTCCTATATATATAAATGACTATTTTTGTTTTTTGTTTTGTCACCCCGTCCCCTCCTTTTTTTTTAGTGATGACATCAATGACGGCCAGCGCCAGAGTGGCGAATCAAGGTCAGGTGGCACCCGGTGCAGGAATTTTCTTGCCGCCCCCCCCCCCTCACACACACACATATATATTGTAAGCCTACATATTTTCGAGGTAGTCGCCGTGGCTAGACGCCCGGCCAGCGGATGGGAGCCAGATTTCTTTTTCAAAAATGGCTTTGACTGACAGGTCGACCCAGCCTTGAGTGGGTACCAGGTGCAGTCCTGGGAAGTAAAGGCTGACGGCGCGTTGCTGACGACATCACCCACCAAGTGCCAATTAGTCTTTAAAAATATCGGTCTAGCCCTATATACCCAGTACGACTAAATGCGTGGTAAAGTGTCCTTTTCTTTACTTTACATATTTTCGCCACTTTTTTACCCCCCCCCCCCCCTTCTCAGTAATGACACCCGGACGGCTGGCACCACTGTCCTATGACACTGCAAACACCCCCCTCCCCCTTTCCTAGCTAAGCCACTGAGTATAGCAAAACTCGGTTACGCTTTGACATATTTATGGGTTACAATGCGGGTGGGCCGGAGGTGGGAAGTGGGGGGGGGGGGGTGGGGTGGGGCATATCTAATCTCAAACTGTTTATGAACTTACCCTAATTTGTGAATTAGATGTGGGCGTAAGACGCGCTATGATGTTATGTTGACTTGATAAAGAGAACAATAGCACAGAGATATCTTATTACCAACATCATATTAACTTGCGCAACATACATGCATACCGTCAACCATAGGCACCGGAGATTGGCAGCTCATGTCCCTTGAGCGCCCCCACCCACTGCACCCATTATTGTGTAGGAGTTCTCAGTGATCTACTTTCACCATTTATATAAATTTTCTTCAACTAAAGCAGCATATGTTCTCTAATAAAAGCATCTGTTCTCTAATAAAAGCATCTGTTCTCTAATAAAAGCATCTGTTCTCTAATAAAAGCATCTGTTCTGTAATAAAAGCATCTGTTGTCTAATAAAAGCATCTGTTCTCTAATAAAAGCATATGTTCTCTAATAAAAGCATCTGTTCTCTAATAAAAGCATATGTTCTCTAATAAAAGCATATGTTCTCTCAATAAAAGCATATGTTCTCTAATAAAAGCATGTGTTCTCTAATAAAAGCTTCTGTTGTGTAAAAAAAGCATCTGTTCTCTACATAAAATCTGTTCTCTAATAAAGCATATGTTCTCTATTAAAGCATATTGTTCTTCAGCAAATCATCTAATATTCTAATAAAAGCATAATTGTGTAATAATAATCATAATAATCTAATAAAAGCATTATTATTTCTAAAAAAAAGCATCTATTTTCTAATAAATCTGTTGTCTAATAAAAGCATCTGTATTCTGATAAAAGTTCTGTTGCCTAATTAAAAGGGTCTGTTCTCTAATAAAGCATCTGTTCTCTAATAAAAGCATCTGTTCTCTAATAAAAGCATCTGTTCTCTAATAAAAGCATCTGTTGTCTAAAAAAGCATATGTTTCGCGCGTTTGCCTAACCAAAACCTCAATCCTAACCTTAACCCTAACTCCAACATCTGTAATATCAATCCTAACCTTAATAATAATAATAATCATAGATATATTATTATTTAAAAAAATAATAATAACCCTAATGGTCCAAATAAATAAACTCCAATATTTCCAAGTATTTCTCTTAACCCTAATCCTTTGGGTCCTTTCCTTAACCGATCTAAATGACGTCCCTAGATGATCCTTCCAAAGTCCTAGACCTCAACCCTAACCTTAACCCTCAATCCTAACCTTAACCCTAACTCCAACCCTAACTCCAACCCTAACTCCAACCCTAACTCCAACCCTAACCTACCTAACCAAACCAATCGCTCAACATACCACCACCTGAAAAATTGTGTCCTGTGACTTGTGGATTTCCTCTGTTTGTGGTGGGTTAATAAGAAAGCACTATTATTTGCCTTGGGAATATATAACTTGGCGTAGAGACCATGGTTTCGAGGTGGAAGGGATGGGGGGGGGGGAGGGGGGTCTGAGAGCCCAAATTATTGCCTAAGTGTTGATAAGGGCGTGGCTGGGGTGCAGAGCATGCCTTCCCCCCTCCCCAGTTTGTTATACCCCAAATTTAGGAAAGGGGAAAGTCCCCCTCAAAAGGGGAAAAAAAAAAAAAAAATCACCTAGAAAATATTAAGAAAAACAGACATGAACAGAAGAACCATCAGAAAGAGGAAAACGATGTATGGAGAAAAGACTTAAGAGGAACCACTCACGTTGAAGGAAGAATTGAAAATCCCTTTGTCGCCATGTAAATCAACATTGTAACCAGTAAGGTAGTGCCAGCCACGGATATTTTGTACCCCCCCCCCCCCCCCGTGGCCATTTTTTTGCATTCAAGTTATTAAAAGAAGTAAAACAAATTAGGTAAATTGCAAATGTTATATTTCAGGTAATTTACTCAACACTGCAACCGTTAGCATTGGAAACAAAATTTTCCTACGTTCTGGTAACGAAGTCGGGCACAGTGAGACGTCACTGGACGTTTATTGATGCAACCTTTGAGACACGTAAGTCTAAGTGGCAGGGGTGCCAGGTTGGTGCCATGTTGTATTGTATCGACGGTCTTACAAGCTGCCACGCGTGCTCTATATTACAGGATGTGAGTGGTGTTAACTACCTGGTAACATGTACAACTAGCCATCACCCTCTCCTCTCCACACTCCTACAGATTGAGCTGAGGTCACACGAGAGAGTGCACTCTACGCCCCGTGTCGTTTCTCACTTCTTAACATTTTGCGGTGGCTCCCTAAACGCTGTGTCGCTCCAGAAACGCAAAGGTACCTTCTCGTCACCCGCCAGCGGTGACAGCTGAAATAAACTCATGTCCTATATAAAATCCCAGACCGTTGTGATATACCCACCAACAAACAGTAATTCTGCTTACGAGTGAAAACGCAATGTCAGCGGCTGCCGCTCACACAACAACGACCAACACACAACACATAAAGCCTTGCGAAGACATCAATGCACACCTCTAACGTAGACCAGCCTGAGCAAGTATCAATGAAAGGTCAGCTAGTGTGTAGCTGGGTCCGATCTAGGCCCAACTACGTTACGACAAATTTTTCCTAACTTTGTTCTCTGCACATTTTTTTTTTTAACGTATCCAGAAACCATGAGTTGTAAACCCTTTGGCTCGGCACTATGGATATCGCAACCCTTCGGCATTGATTCCATTATAGGTACCATTAATATGGGAGAAATGTGGCTTTTCTGCCTACCCCCGGGAGTGAACCCGGACCACAAGGAGTTCGTCACCCGGCCGCCGCGAAAGTCAGGTTTAACCAACTTCGCTAGAGAGCCGGAAAGCACAACATCAGAGTCAATTCCTTCAGCTATTTTGTTTATAATTGACAAGATGGCTAAGGCAGAGAGCCTTATAGTAGACCTAAGATAGTAAGTAAAGGAATAGAAGGAATTCAATAGTATGATAGAATAACTAATGTAGAGCTTTAGGAGAGAACTAAACAGGCTCCAGTGGACCAAGAGGTGAGGAAAAGACGCTGGCGTTGGATAGGACACACACTGAGAAAACAGGAGAACAGCATAACTAGAATGTCTTTGCGTTGGAACCCACAGGGGCATAGGAATAAAGGAAGGCCAAAAAAAAAAAAAACCAAACACATAGAGAAGAGAGCTGGAGAATGAAGTTAGAAAGATGGGAAGGACATGGGGTAGAGCTTCATGCAATGGCAAAGGATAGAACGACTTGGCGTGAGTTGGTAGAGGGCCTATGCTCCATTTGGGGATAGAAAGGCGGAAAAAGAAGTAAGTAAAGGACCCATTTTCACGCCTTTAGGTTGATTGTGCATACAGGGCTAGAACTATATTTTTACAGAACGATTGGCACTCAGTGGGTGTCAGGGACACATTACGTCGGTTGTCCTTATTACCCAAGACTTTACCAACCCATTTAAGGCTGGGCCGACAGGGAAGCCAAGCTCATTTTTAAAAATAAAAGAAAGACCCCCTCTAAGATAACCTGAACCCACGACCTTCGAATCCCCAGGCGAGCAACTAGCCGCTACACCACGGCGGCTTCCGGACTTAAGACAACTCTTGATTCATTTTTGCTTGAAAAAACCCTCTCACATGGTGCTCCAGGAACGCATACCGTTAACAAGAAAGTCAGTACAGAACCTTTTTCCAACACCTTTAAGTATATTGGTATACAAGTTAGTCTTTCCTCTTGTGTCGAGTGCGGCACATAAGGCAGAGGTCATGACTCTCCATGCATGGCGGTGGTCATGACTCTCCATGCATGGCGGTTCGTTGCAATCTGTTGTAGGTCTTGGATGTTTGAGTGGCCCATGAGTGAGCCTTCCCTGATGATAGTTCTACGTAGGGTTTCCCTTGGTCTTCCACGAGATATTTTCCCCTGTGGTGTCCAAATGAGGGCTTGGTAAGGAAGTCTTGATTTAT